CACACACACACACACACACACACACACACACACACACACACATATTTCTGTCTTTCTCTCTCCTTCCGGGCCCCCCCGGGCCCCCCATATTTTTTTCCCGTTTCTTTCATATATATACACATAAACGTATTCGTCCTTTTTGTCTTTTCGCCGGTATTTGGCTCTTGGTTCCTTGAGAGCATGCATTGGGAACAGCATCATCATCAAATGCGGCACCTTGTAATTGGAAAAGACCGCACGATTCCAAAGAACTGAATACGGTTGGTTGGATAAGCGCACGGATAAGTTATTATGATCATGTTACTCAACCGTCCTCATCATCCTCGGCAGCTATTACAGTACCTCTCTGTCTCACTCTCCTCCCCAATGGAGGCGCCTTGGGTACACGGGTTTTCCCTCTGCCTGCAGCCGTCCGATTTGCTCCCATCCTCTTATCACCAGATGCAATGGCTATCTGATCTACCGACCCCCCTCCTCCATCCTCTCTCGTACTTGTGTTGATTTTCTTCTCTCCCCCTTCTCCTCCCCCCATACAAGAAGAAGACTTGTCAAGAAGCCGAGGGGGGAGCTTGCCATCTGATCCCGATCCCAATCCAGCAGCCACGACCGTCCTTTGAGTCGGAACACCCACGACGTTTCCACGACCACGTGCAATCGTTGCCTGAGAGATTGGCAGATGTGCATGGTCATCCTCATCCTCTGCTGCCAGACTCTCTGCCACGTGTCGTATCGAGGATGGCGGCTGCTGCTGACGTGTCAAAGACTGTGACAACGCAGATCTCTCCATCTCCGACTTTCTTAATTGGGAAAGAGATCCTCTTCTACGCCCAATCTTCAAGTCCTCAACCTCGCTCTGCAGGAACTCCGACCTCTTCCTCTCCGCTTGCAGCTCCATCTTCGCCTTCAAAGCTTCTTCGGCCGCCATAGCCGAGGCCTTCAAGCAAGCTGTATGATCCTCTAGCAATGCAAAGGCCATCTTCGCCGTCGCTTCTTCCAGATCAACGCCTCTCAAAGCCCTCAACATAAAACGAACTTTCGGTGTCATTTTAGCCTTTTGCCCCACCAGTTTTGCAACCCCTCCTCCTCCTCCTCCTCCTGCTGCTGCTGCTGCAAGGGCAACTCCTTTCCCTGCTGGTGTCGACGACGAGGAGGAGGAGGAGAAGGGGATGCTCCTGCTGCTGGTGGGGGTGGTGGTAGTTGGGGTTCTAATGTCCGACAGATGGTGATTGCTTCCGTCATCAACGGCTGAGAACTGCACATTCTCACCGGCAAAGGAGTCGCGCAGAAAATGTAGGAAGTCGATCCACGTGCCTCCCACTCCAATATCCTCTCTTAATTCTTCAAGATCGCTCAAGCTGCGACTGGTCGCCCACGTGCGACCTCGAAAATCGGTCACCACAACACTTAATTCCCGCCGTCGTACAGAATCTTCAGCAGATTCTGCTGAGATGCAGAATATCAGTGGATGTGGTAAACCAGCGGCGGGGGCTCGAACAGGGTCCCCTCCCTGTTGAATTTTCCCGAAAACGGTCCGGAAATCGGAGAGGCTCTCACTCACCGGGAGCAGCATCAAATCCTGCTGCGTGTTATCCATCGCCGTGAACGTCAATCGAGTAGCCACGTGGCAAATCTTCCACCTCACCTCCTCATTCTCAAATTACAACTCCACCTCCCCCTCCCCTACCCTTCTCCCTTTCGCCAAATCAATCGCACTAATCAATCAATCAATCGCATTAATCAATCAATCAATCAATCATCTTCTTTCACGGGTTGCCAAATTCCTGGCAGATTGAGCAGACGAGCTTGACGAAATCAAGCAATCTCGCTGCTCTTTCCTTCGGGTACTAGTCAATGAATGAATGAATGAATGAGGGAATGAATCAATCAATCAATCAATCAACCAATCACCGTCTTTCACCGGTTGCCAAATTCCTGGTAGAGATTGAGGAGACGAGCTTGACCAATCAAGGAATCTCGTTCTGGCTCTTTCCTTCGTGTACTAATCAATCATCAAATCAATCAACCAATCAATCAACCAATCAATCATCAAATCAATCAACCAATCAATCAATCAATCAATCATTAAGTCAACCAATCAACCAATATCAATTGACAGATCGACCGATCAATCAATCAACCATGGAGTCCCGGGCTGTGGCTTCTTTCTTCGAGTACCAATCAATCAATCAATCAATCAATCACTAAGTCAACCAATCAACCGATATCGATTGATAGATCAACGGATCAATCAATCAACCAAATAATTCACCAGTCCAGCTAATCAATCTTCAAGTTTCCTTTCAATAAACCAGAGTCTCGAACAATTGCTGTAGGTAATTATGTGTGAAGCACGGTCTATAGATAAACCCTGCCCTTACTCGTAATTACTGAGAAAAATGATGACACTTACATCAATTCTGCCACCGCGAAACAAGACAAAAGAAAAAAAAAAACTCTGCCACTACGCACCTTCCTCTTTCACGGAAAGGCTGGACAACGGGCCTCGCTCCAGTACTCACCAAATGTGCAAAATGAGAACGAATCTTCCGCTAGAACAGGAACCGATACACGGCCATATTTTTTGTCGTTTGTGCATGAGCTGAGTAACGGATCGAGGCCCAATGGAGAGACGAGTGACAAAAGAACACGTTCGCTTACCGATTTGCCTCTGTGGACTCTGGAATTTCCTTTCTAGGAAAGGTCGGACAAGATACGACGATTCTGTAATGGCCTGAGGCCATCGGACTTTGGGCCTTCCTTTTTAGGAAAGGCCATCGGACTTTGGGCCTTCCTTTTTAGGAAAGGCCGGACAAGTTACAAAGAGTCTGTTAGGTGAAGTCGAGAGCTACTGGAGCGTGGACCTTCCTTTTTTTTTTTTTTAAGAAAAGGTCGGACAAAAAAAAAACAAGTCGTCGAGTAAAAAAAAAAAAAAAAAAACAGATAAAAAAAAAAAAAAAAAAAAAAAAAAAAAAAAAAAAAAAAAAAGCTATTGGACCCGGGACGAAAGGTCGGACAAGACACGACGAGAGTCTGTAATCTGTAAGGGGCAGAGTTGAGATCGACTATTCGACAGTGGACCTTCCTTTCTAGGAAAGGTCGGACGAGGTACAGCGAGTCTGTACCGCGGAGTCGAGATCTGTTGCCCCGATATCCTGGAAGATGACACGGCATTCCACTGATCCAGCTATAACACCCGCCGGGATCGAGGAGGGAGCTTCTACCCATCGACAGTGGACCTTCCTGTCTAGGAAAGGTCGGACGAGGTACAACGAGCCTGTAAGCGGCGGAGTCGAGATCTATTGCCCCGATCTCCTCGAAGATAACACGGCATTCCACTGATCCAGCTATAACACCCGCCGGGATCGAGAAGGGAGCTTCTGCCCATCGTGCTCCACAGCAGTTCTTACAGGAAGCCAAGGTCCACCCATCGTGCTCCACCGCAGATCTTCGAGGAAGCCCTCGGGCTCCACTGCCGATTTCACAATTTTTCCCTTTTGCAATTTTTATTTCTTTTGGAGAATTTCTGAAATGCCCCTCCGACTTCCATTTATTTGCAGTATGCTCCTCTGACGGCCGATTTACCTTGTCGCGCCCCTCTGACAAAGATTGAAGTCTATGAAAAACCCCTGGCGCAGTTTGGGCCTGAAATATACTCAATACGCCCTGTGGGCCTAAAAAATACTCAACATGCCCCTACGGGTACCCGTTCCAAATTTCCAGTATGCCCCGGTAGCTCAACTCCCAGGGCCAGGGGAATGGCCGCGAGTGCCACCAATGGCCACAGGGGCATGCTGAAAAGTTGCACCCCGCACTGACAGGGGCCTGCGGGGAACTTCAGAGTCCCGAGTAAGTCGGCCGTTGGAGGGGCATACTGCAAATCGGAGGGGTATTTCAAAAAAATGTCCTTTCGGAGGGGTATTTCAAAAAAATGTCCTTCTTGTTATTGTGGTAGGCAAACTCCTTTTCTTTCATCGCCTTTCAAATTCTTTCAATTCCCCTTCACGACCTACCTACCTACCACTACTCCTAAGGCTTATACAGGGGACCCCTGCGAACATAACTTTGTTGTCTCCCAACAGCCATCAGAGGGGGTACATGTTGCCCCCCGCCCCAACCGTGGTGGTCGAGGATGGCGCAAGGCCGCCGGTGGGGGTCCAGCTAATGCAAAGACCAAGCATTTTGCCAGTAGCATACCTTTCGCAAATTCCGCCTCCGATCTCTGAATTTTCTTTTTTTGAGGGCGGTAAAAGTAGAGCACAACCCACTCACACTTGCACTCACACCCACGTTCGTGAGAGACCCTACTAATACCGATCAGAGATATCAAGCAGACTATCACAGCTGGTTGGCACTAAGTGCACCACAGGCGGTTATGGAGTTCGAACCCACGACCTCATGAATGCCACTTGCATGAATTGTGAGTGGGTTGTGTGCGGTATGTGGGAGAGTGTTGGGCTCAGACACTGCTGCTACTCTATGGGGGTTGTGGGGTGATGAAAAAGGGAGGTGGGTGACGTTCAACCTGACGCCTTGTGCTATCTTCCATTCAGAGTGATAAATTATGTGGTTCCAATTTTAGTGAGGAACGACCACAGCTGCGCGGGATTCGTTAATCCAAGAAGTATCTTTAAACCTCCATGCGGGCTACTAGTCATCTTTTCGACCGGAAAGGCAGGGGTACACACGTGGGATCTCGTTTTCGGATTAAGTCCCGGTGCCGTTCACTATAGAGTTCGGAATCCGGCGAGGATGGCCTCAGCCTGGTCGCTCTTTCCTTGTGTTCGTCCTCGCCACGTGTCCGGTAGTGGAACCCCTTTTCCCGATAACACTCGATGCAGCGACAATCGCTGCACAGAGTGTTAGGCCAACGACGTGCCACCACCGTCCACAAGAATACAATCAACTCATTAAAAGGCAATAGCAATGAGTACGAGGGAAAATGAGTATCGATAATGACAAAACCAGCGCCTACGAACCCCGAGCACCTTGTTTCGTGAGGAAAATAGTAACGCCCCCCGATCTTGGTGACGACTTCTCGTACGTCTCACTCATATACACGTGTCCTTTCCTCGTTGTACGGGAACAGGCGTGACAGGGATGCGGGAAGTCGATGCCCGCTTGGATCGAAGCAATCGGTCCGCATGGCATAAGTGAGGTTGATTGTGCATGTCTAATTGATCGGTTATTCGATCAGAAGAACAAATAGACACCACGATATGCATTATCTTTCACTCATCGTGCAAACCAATCCAAAGCGTAAGTCCATGCAATCCAATCAGTCAAGAGAACAATCATTCTTCATTTGTGCGAATAGTTAAGCATGCATCGAAGTGATTATTTTAGACTTTTGCTTTGTTCCCGTCAATTGGGTAACAAATTAATCGATCATATATGTGAGAGATCACTCATACATTAACCATCGAATACCGAGGAGTAGAGAGAGGGATGAAATAAGATCCCCTGTTCTCGCTGGTCTCTTTAAATTCAACGACACTCATCCTTGTGAGATCTGATCATTGTATCCAATGAGATGAGCAGGATAGGACCTCGGGAGCTGATAGGGACGAGGAAGTTATCAAACATTCACGCGAAAAATAAACGAGAGAGAGAGAGAGAGAGAGAGAGAGAGAGAGAGAGAGAGAGAGAGAGAGAGAGAGAGAGAGAGAGAGAGAGAGAGAGAGAGAGAGAG